CGGTGTATAGGACGCAAGCAGATTTTGACATCAAATTTTGGGGTAAAAGGTGCGCCTTATACACCGAAAAATACGGTATATATATATATATACACACACACATTAGATACTCCAAATGCTAGTCACTTTATTCTTCTGTCTATCCATCCATCCTTCAATCTATCGAATTATTTGACCAACTAATTCTACTAATTGATGAATAGTGACTGACGATCATAGACAAATCGCTTATAATTATTTAACAATTAAAATGTACACACGTGTTTTCGTTGTTTATTATCATACGGTTCTGTGTATTTTAATAATAATTCAGCAGATTTAGTTTTTGTTATAGTTTTATTGTTCCTAAAACGAACTGGTGTAAAAGCTAAAGATATAAGGATCGCGCGTCTTGAGTGTTTTAGTAACCTGGTGTTAAGTTTAATATTTATGTCTACAGTTTCGGAAACTTTTATTCATTGAATTTGTGTGTGTGTGTGTCGGTCTTTCTTTTATCGCTCTTTGCCTTCTGCGCGGGTGCTTCTTTCTTGTCTTTGGTTCAAATTAGGGTTACCACGTCGGAACTAATGTTGTCTTTAAATCTTCTTCCGTCATCCACACAAAATCGGCCTGCATTCCTGAAAAGAAAGATGTCAGGACCTGAATATAAAACCTGTAATATGTATATTCGACGTTGGTAATTGTAGCCTCTGACGTCATTTATGTCACGAGTTTCTTGGTTGGTAGAACGATCTGTTAAAAGTACATCTCGAGTCAATTCTGAGATGATGTTTATTTTCAGTATTTGCATCTAAACATTAATTTTATTCTTATATCATTTTTATCTAGGTTTTGGAACTTGGTTTTGAAAATAAAATGCGAAAAAAAAATACAGGGAAAGGATTGTTTTTACTACTTGACAAAAATCATAATTTGACTGCACGTGAGCATTTTTCTCGCGTGGCGATGTTGACCTATATTACCTGTACCTTGGCTAGTTAGTTGATGCACTGAAAGAATAAGTTGTTGCTGTATGCGTGAAAACAAATTATGGTCTCAGTTGCTCTTTAAAAACACGTAATTTTCGGTTCACCTCTATCTTATAGTTCCTCGTAATTCATATCAAACCAGGATGATCCAACGAGAGATACCCCACCGGGGACATCCGCAGAATTTTTTCCAGGGAGTTGCAACGTTTTCTGGGGAGGGGGGGGGGGCAAAATAGTGTGAAATTGTGGTTTGAATAAAAAAAAAACAGATAAATATGCTGAATGAATAAAGAAATAATTATGTTTCTCATTTTCAGGGGGAAGTGCCCCTCTTGCCCTCCCCCCCCTTACGGACGCCCGTGTATTCCACTGATTTCTTACGGGAAGAATACAATACACTAAAGGCACAAATGTATATCACTGAAATAAAGCAGCACTTGGGCTTGAAACTATATTAGTTAGAAAACTTGGAATGCAACAATATCAGTTAGAACATTTGGCTTACAACAATATCAGTTAGAACATTTGGCTTACAACAATATCAGTTAGAACATTTGGCTTACAACAGTATCAGATATAATAGTGTATTATGTTCTTCCCTTACAAAATCGTTGGAGTATCTTTCGTTGGATCACCCCGTTTTATGTTTAACAAGTCCAGGAAGCGACAATTTTCTTTTTCTTTTCGTTCAGCTTCAAATACTTACCATATACATATTCTAAATTTACTGAAGGACTCGTTATAATAAAACACACAAACACTTGTCGTGGGAAGTTGAAATTAATACACAATCCCTATTAAAAATAGAATTATTATAGGGTATTTTGTTATTGGACGTTAACTTTGATCTTTATTGACGTAGATTACTACTCTAGTCAAACCATAGTGAAGATCCGCGGAGTAACTGTAGCCGTGAAAAGGCATGATTTATGACAAGTTATCAAACTTCTACACCTTCATTATATACGTCAAACAATTCTCAGTTCTCGGAAAAGCTACCCGTGCTAGGACTTTCCATTCCGACAGTTAAAACTGACCAGAGAACTTGACCTCTCTTATACATTTACATAACACATGTCAAAGCAAAAAGTCCCCCCCCCCCTACCCTCGATGACACCAAATACAAACTTTGTCTTCTTCGCACGCATGAAAAGTGGACCAATGTTTGGCGCGAATGACTTGTCGTCACCTTTCTTTCCAACATGTGTATCCT